CGGCTGCTGGTCTCTCGCCGGTGTCGGAGATTGCGAGCAATATTAAATATGCCTCGCTGGATACGCCCAAGATTGGACGGGTGGCAGTTGCTGGTCGCGAACTGTTCCTGGGGAAAGCACTACATGCGAACCTCCTCTCAGATGACCATGGCAATGCAAGAAAATTTGTGTTCGTTAAAGGAAGTATTACGACAAAGGTGCATCACGAAATGAGATGCAAAGCTTAGAGAAAATCAAAATTACCTATGGATTGGAGTCCAAACACATTTCACAATTTAATAAAAAAAACTTCAAGGGATAGCCCTATGGGGTTGTACGCAATGGTGACGTAGGACTACGTGTTCTTATATAATAAATCATATTTATTAACTGCAGCAGGAGCTTGCGTTTTGTGTAGGAATTGGAATTTAAGCGGGGTTCTCTCTGTTTATACTCTTTAGTATGACGCACTTGGCATAGATGGCCCACAGCAACTCATGGAGAGCTACTGATTCCAATCAATAGCTGTGCGGCTTCTTCCTCCTTCTATGGATGCTCATGTGGGCTGCAGTTCGCTGCTTGCAGGCAGTTTTTCGTTGTGTACTGGAGAACAATGTTCTACGGCGCGCAACACTGCTGCTATTGCTGATGCCGACGACCGGACACCACCACTCTCGGCGATTGGAACTGAATCTGATCAGCGGTTGAGCGTAACCTTGATAGCTAGCTGCTTGCGGGGAGCCTTTCGTTGTGTACTGGAGAACACCACCACTTACCACACGTTGATTGAATAAACACCGTTTGGAGAGACCGGATAGAATTCAACTTTGAAATCTGTGTTAGGGAAATCGCTTTTTGCAGGCAATCGGTGATAATTTCAACTATCATAGCAACAGTTGCACATCCGTGCTATTTTCAATAGTTTAATTTTGAAAAATGATAAAGTGTTGACTTCAACAGATGCGTAGGAATATTTCTGATCGATTGGTGATAAAATTATTGAAATTGGTTCAGGGGCAGCTGAGTTATTAACTTTCAAAATCTTTCATAATTTTGTTACATGTTCCATTTTCAGTTTTCACATTGTACCCCCATATAAAAATCACAGACGTAGTCCTACGTCAAAAACATAAACTAAATACGTGCCAGGTTTGAAAAGAATATTTTCGAACCTGGAATCCATTTTATAACGGTGATGCATACATGCGGGGCTTATTGTAAGTGAAAGAAACCTCGGAATGGGCGTGACTCTCCAGACATTCTGAAATGGGTTGCTGGATCTGCAATAGAGCTATCACTTTCTAAATCCCGGACTAAAGTTGTCTACAATGACCATAAATGCGGCATTGTAGAGAGAGTTCTTCCATAATAACACTGCCGGCCAGTGGGGGTTAGAGGGAATACACACACACACAGAAGAACAGAAATTAGTCAATTCACTAAAACTAAAAATTAAACCCACGAACATTAATCTGATAACTGCAGTAGGTCAGGAGTTAGAGGTAATAGAATCGACGGAGTTCTTCTTTGCAGATGTTCCAATCAGAGGCGTCGCGTGCCTCATTTGTTTACCTGTGCACCAAACTTTGTTCGTTATAGCTTACCACCACATATTACTTTTTGTATATTTTCAATGCTTCATGAATTCGAGGGACATATTCTATATTAATCACTACCTAACGTAACATTTGAAGGGCCTATAATCTTTCGACTGAAGTGTAATGAAGAATATCCGTCAAACACTTCCGAAAACATTTTTTGATACAAAACAGTGTCAAAATCTAGAGGAAATTCATGATGTTGCCTGGGTAGCAAACTTGAATTAATCAACTCTTTATTCATCAGAACAACACTATCAGAATGAACCAGGGGAAGCTTATAAGTTTTCACAGGCGCACCGGCGCAACCATCGGTAATTGAGAGATTTACAACTGACAGCGAGTTTTTGCGCTCTCTTTCTCCATTACTCTCTTTGCCTGTAATCAGATATCCAAGTGCACAGCGAGAAATGCACATTTTGGGCAACCATACATCACAAATCTAGATAGAGCTGGAATTAGGGCGTAACAGCCTTTGTAAACAATGACTTCTCTCGTGGATTTCTCGGAATTCAAGGCACGCCTACACAAAACAACATATCCATCGGGTAGGAGTAGTCTTTCTCTACTCGATGGTGATGTCGATTTGCCAGGGAGAGCTATGGCTTCCGAGAAATCATCGAGAGAAGTCATTGTTTACAAAAGCTGTTACGCCCTAATTCCAGCTCTATCTAGAAATGTTCTTCTAATTTAAACTAACACATTAGGTCATATGAATAAAAGCGTTTACTTTACTTTTCCCGTAAGAAAAGCACGGGAAAGTAAAGTAAACTCTTTTTATTCAAACCGGTTTGCAAGTATGATAACGTCCAAAGCGTACCAGACTGCTGTTTCCGTGTTGCTCCCGTTTGACGCGGGACTGCTGAAAGCTTAAATTACAACTAGTGGTGCAAACCGCCATGTATTGTGGAAAATTTGTGGTATGTTTCAAGAGGTGATAGAAGGTCTGCTTAGCTTACATCAGGAATTTGACCATTCACAAGCTTGCCACCCACCACCCAAAAAAGCTCGCTTTTAGGTGCACTATTTAACTAGTTTTGACATGGTAGTGTTATCGATATGCTTAGAAATCAATGCATTAGGGATTAGGCAGACCATCCGAACCTTTTTGAAGCAAACCAAAGTCGAAGATTTAACTGAGCCACACTATAAAATAGTGTATTCATGGTCACTTGTAATCTGGAGTAAAGTAATACTGCTATAATGTGACCATACAATCTATAAAAAATCTAAACGCATTTTTTTAATTATTCATACCTGTGTCGTGCACAGGTTGCACATGTGGACGCGACGCCACTGGTTCCAATGTGTTCTAATTCTATAGTTCACAAAATCCAATGCACGTCGTACTATCTAAAGCACGTGCCGTGCACATTTCCACTGCACATACCGGTCAGTGTGCTAACGCGTTCAGGAAACATACAAAACAACCATCAATCGCAACAAACTCTAATACCGAATTTGCCTTTGATTCAGTTCCAACATGGTAAAAATCACGCTAATTTAAAAAAAATTGTTCCAACCTGGATCGGGTCTGCTTGTTTTCTGTCAGACGTTAGTTTAGCCTTTTTTCTCCAGGTTGAGGTTCGCTTTGCGAAAAAGTTTGGTTTAGCACTGGGTTGGAACCCGAAAAAAAAACCAATCCGCTAAAAGATAACAGGCACTATAGAACCCTCCAAGTTTACTAGCAAATCAGCACTAAACGACCGTTGGTAATTTACAAAATGATCGATATTATTTATAAACATTGAACCCAACCCGTCCACTCAGCCGTCTAGTAGATTACTTTCATCGTCCTCCAGCAACGCGTCCATGTCAATACCGGCTGGAAAGCCGTCCCCGTTCACTGCGGAAGACGTTTCTTCTTCGTAATCGTCCGTTCCGTCTTTCGTGGCCACCACCACCGTTATCTTGTTTGGTTGTTGCGGTTTCTTCGGTTTCCCTGGACGATTGTGCGAAACCGTTACCTGTTGCTGTTGATTCGGTTTCCGGATCTGTTGCGGGTATTTGTAGTTAGCTCTGCCCTGAAGGTGTGTTGTTGGTGCCACCTGCTGAAGTGGATAACCCTGGGGAAATTGCAAAGCTGGTTGATATGCGGACGGCTGGGGTTGCGATGGATAGCTGGATGCTGATGACCACGGGAGCTGTGCAGGAGGTTGATATGGTCTGTAAGTCGGTTGCATTTGGGCAGATTGTTGGGGTGGATATCCCGGGGGCGGTTGCTGCCACTGCTGGGGTGCTGAATAGAATGGCTGTTGGGGTTGAGGTGCATAGCCAGGAATAGGCTGTGGTTCCGGGCGCTGCATAACTGGCATATATGGGATGTTTGATGGTGTTTGAATGAATGGTACTGGTTTGCCATAATCTGCCATATATCCCGGGGTGAATTGTGAACCCCCCGTAGTGGGTGGCATTTGGTGCTGAGGTTGGTTATGTTGTTGTGCTGCATAGGGGTCGACTACTGCTTTCTTATCCGGTTGTCCTGCATGAACTCCATACGGGGCTACTCCTTGATTTAAGTACGGTGGTTCTACTTGACCTGCGTATGGGTCTACCACTGAATTTAAATACCCAGCTGCATTCGATGCTTGAGCTAGCACTGGATTTAAAAACGCTGCTGGATCTATTGCTTGAGTTTGATCCAATGAATTCAACGCAGGACTCAAAACTTGACCTGCATGTGCGTCAACGACGTTCGACACATAATGTTTGAAGCCTTGTTTGTAGTTTTTCATCAAGCCTCCGATGTAGCCCGGACTACGAGCATCTAAAGATTGTTCACCACCGGAACAAGTCACTTCCGCACAACCGCAACAACATGGCGTACAGCAGCAGGCTCCCGTTGGAGCTCCATAGATTCCACTCAGCGATACTAGAATTGAAAACGAATACAACCAATAGATCTTCATCGTACCAATGCACTACTGCAAATCCTACGACCCTGTTTCAATTTTATACCCGACTCCAGACGGTCGTAAACCGTCGTCCACCAGTTGGTCATTAATGATTGTTTTCGCAATCATATCCAGCGTGCCAATTTTCTGGAATCTAAATGAAATTATTTTCCTACAAATCTAACCCACTGAATATTGCCTACATTCAGGCGATGCTTGCTGTTATCAACTCGTTGAATCTTATTATGTCAAGTGACACTCACATACCCATCATCATGTGACAAGCTCTCAGGGGATGAAACGTGTATCATCATAAATTCTTTCACCCGGCAAAAGAGCAACCACTTGACCGCGTTCATTCCCGCATCCTCATGCTTTTCCTTCCATCAAGTGCCATCTTACATCCAGCATTCAGCTAATGTTCATGGCGTTGCATCGAATAAATTTTCTTGAGCGAAAACTAGTTACATCGACATTGACAAATCGTCCAACTGACCCCATTTTCTCACCTTCTGTTCTTCCTTTCCAGACATGGCCGGTGGCTATCTGTGCTTTGTGATTTCCATCCTCTGCATCGGTGTGGTGACGGCGATTATCGGCGATGTGGCGTCGCACTTTGGTTGCACGCTGGGAATTAAGGATTCAGTCACTGCCATCGTCTTCGTCGCGCTGGGAACGAGTATACCGGGTATGTGCACCGAAGCTCTTTAGGGGAAAACAAATGTCAACAGCTCTCATTAACGATTTCATTCATTTTAGATACGTTCGCCAGTAAGGTCGCCGCCATTCAGGACAAGTACGCCGACGCCAGTGTCGGTAACGTCACCGGAAGTAACGCCGTCAACGTGTTCCTCGGTATCGGCGTTGCCTGGACCATTGCCGCCGTCTACCATGCCTGGCACGGGCGATCGTTCGATGTGGATCCCGGAACGTAAGTTTTGAATTTGTTATGTTCATACATTATTGTCTATCCATGACGACGTTCCGCACTGAACCGTGAGATTTTCTCAGTAGATAAAAAAAAATCAGCTGACAGCAGCTGTCTGAGGATAGCCAAATTGAGGATTTTTGATGTAGCGCTTTCACCGATAAATTGCCATGGAAATTCATGAACTGGCAAAGAAGTTACAGCTGTGGACGGAACAGGTTCTCGTAATAAACAAGAAAATAATTAAGTCCACAAGCAAATGTGCCTGGAAAATACACACCTGTGTATTTATGACCAGATCATTACAGATTTAACTGGGTTCTTTAAGGGTATTGAGGTAAATGCATATTCGTAATCTGCATTAAAAATTGAACCCAAACCCAAAATTTCATCAATTTTGGTACACTGGAACTATTTTAAATAAATACGATTACATTTGCAAAAATCACCTTATTAGCGCCCCTCGGTCTCACTTTGTATGGGAGCGCGCTGTCAGTTTGTCAGTTTAGTGTCAAACAGTGATGTTATTATTTTGCTTTCAATCTTGATTTAAAAATCGAGATGAAAGTGTGTGGGTTCGAAAAAAATATCGCTGTGCTCAGAAAACGAAGCTCTTTCAGATGATATATAAAAACCGATATATTTTTCAAAATTAAAGAACCCAATTGAAAGGGAAATTAATCTACCAATTACCTCCAAATCTACCAAATGGATTAAAAGCATGGCTAATTTTTACAACAGATGTCGCTAGTAAAAATAGCTGGTAAAAAGTTACGGTGATTTATTTTGTATGATGAAAATCGGGAAATGTTGATTTTAACGAAAGAAGGACCTTTTCTTTAAAAAAAATAATATTTGGCATACAATGCTGTTCGATATAATAGCAGCGCATGCCGGTTTTCATACAAAATTTACAACTTTGACATGTTGTTACTTTGTTCTCTTAAGTTCAATTGAGCTGAAACGTTCTAATCTAATCTAATCCAACACCAACACAGCCAGTTCTTGAAAGCATCCTGGGAAATGATGTATATATATATACCTGCATCATTTTTCTTGTCTATTTGATATATGTTTCACATCGAAGATGCGTCACACATATCAAAACGGCCAGGCCTACTGTGCAGCATTTAAGGGGCAAGATGATTAAGAAAACATCGGGCCTGTTTAAATCGAAGATTTAAACACGATACTTCAGAATCCAATAAATGGATGAAACGTGGACATCTCGTACCGTACGTTCCTATTTTGGTAATTATATGATTCGTTGGTCGTTGGAAGCATCAAAGCTAGAAAGGTAAAGTGATGCTCCATTTTCTTCTGAAGATTGGGACATGAGCACTAACTCTTGTCCTAGCCTTTTATGACTTATGGCAATAGCGTCATTATTCGTTTTCTGAAAAGAGAAGAGGGAAAGGAAAAGGAGAAAGACAAAGGGAAAAGGATTATGTGAAATCTATGAACATAAACAATATTTTTGATTTGAAATATACAATATAGAAATGAATAACGGCGGTGGTCACCATGCTTGACATGCACAGTTGTACACACCAACTGCTTATTTGTTAATAACTTTTCACTCAGTTGTTGAAATTTGTTTTTCTTTGAAGTAATTGATAGATTAGGATCATAGCTTACTACATATATACAAGCAGGTAAATCTTAACATTTGAATCAACACCAATGAATTTTTAGATTTGAGGTCCGAGATGTGCAGCGAGCATTTCTCACTTGATTTTTACAACGCAAAAACAAATACAGTTTATTGCTAGAATTAAAATCTACTTTTTCGTACGTACTTATTACAAGCTTAAACTTAATTATATCTACTGCTTCAAACAGAGCTATGTTTTGTCAACTGTGTGCAAAGTTATTAGCAAATGACCAGTTCGTGACCAAAACTGTGTATGCCAAGCATGGTGGTCACTACCCGAGTCTTGTCACTATTATCAAGTCATAAAAAGCAACAAGGACTAAAATGTGATCCTTTGATAACTGGAAAATCCTGATTCTCTAGATTGAAGTTGTCACGACTAGGGTTCGGTGGTAACGTACCACAAGAAGGTGATCTCCCAACGTTACTGGTTTGAAATGATAAAAAATTACAAAATGGTGCGAACTCACCAAGTTTAGTCAATTGAACCTGAAGGCTGCTTGACATGTGGTGATGTAGATGTCCAAAATTTCAAGACAGTTCCAGTCGAGGATTCCAACAGTTCCCGATGAAAAATCCAAACGATTCCTGGGGATATTGCAAAAAATTCCGATGTGGATTCTAGACGTTCCCAACAGAGAATCCAGACGTTCCCGACTTGAATTCGAGATGTTTCCCACGGAAGCAAGCCATCAGGTTTTCCAGAGGTTCCTGATGGAGCTCCTTTTGCCCTTTGACCTTTTGTCTTTACAATTTTTGTCTTTCGACCTTTTGTCCCTAAACATCCCGATAGAGATTTTAAAGTCTGGTCCACTTAGAATCCGGACACATTATTTATTCTACAGCAGTGCCTCCAGCGGTTGTATTTGGAATGTTTTAACAGCAATTTATTCTGAGAATACTCGTGTTTCAGTTGTGAATGTTACATGCGATACACTGCCCTGTGCAGCATAACAGTCCCATTAGCATTTTTAGCGAAAATGAGTTAAACATTAGAATGGATAGTCAAGTACCATCACTTTACAATGTACTCGATAAGTTTCTTACTTTGATCTGAAAATGTAGCAAAAAATACCAAAACTATGTTGTCCTATCCATAAGAGCCCATAGCGAAGCGTTTTTCTCAGTTATTGGAATTTGGTTTTTTGGAAATTCAAAAGCAGTTTTTTCGTTAAAATCCGAAATTCTGTCTATGAAAAAGTGTACACTGTGTTCTAGTAGGCAAGTAAAATCCAATGAATAAATTTTCGTGTACGTAATTTTGGTTTTGAACGAAAAAAAACTGTATTTGAATACATAAAAATTAGTGACGTTCCCTTTTGGTAGTCAGTAGTTTGTCTATTGCGTTTCGTCCAATTAAAAAGCAGTAATCCTTTCTAACGGATGCAACTACCTAGCCTTCAACATTAATAATACAGTATCGGTCATATTAGGGTACTAATGCTGGATTTTTTGTCCCTCTAAACAAGTTTGGTGGACTGCAACTTTTTAGTATGAGTATTGATAATTCTGAAATTATTACTGCTGGTTGGTGAAATAATACAAATTTAACTGTATTATTATGAGCTTACTAAGTTGAATCAGCTTAAACTTCCAATAATTTTAGAAAACCGTATCTTATTTGACTACCATTTTTTTTTTCAAATTGCACGCCCACAATGAACTACACCAGTTTTTTTTTTTTTTTTTTTTTTTTTTCTAGCCGGAACATTATTTTATTTGAATACATCAGAATTGATGGTCAACGAATAATATCATTTCTGAATCTATGATGGCGACATCCAGTTTTCAAAGTTGCTTAAAATACACCACACTTTGAGTTTTTATTCAAAGAAGACTAGACTGTTCAACCAATTAAATGCATAATTATTGGACTATAAATAAAAAAAAAGTACGATTGATTTGATTGATTGTGCTTCAAGAAACTACAATTTTTAAAACGGTGTTCAGACAAGAAGCGTTTTACTGAAATTACTCATACTTCATGCAGAGTCAACTAATCATCGCTCTAAAAAGTACTGGTAAATGTTGATTATTTGATCAACCAGCAGCCCAAATTTCAGCAATTTAAATGCACATATTAAAAAATAACAGCTCTTTGAACTTTTTGGACAAACATTTAACAATGAGCCGCATACTGTCTTCAGCAAAAAACATTAGGTTGAAAAAATATTATATAGGGTAAATGTCGGCTTCGGCACCCATTGACTTTTATTAATATTTTATTTTATTTAAGCATATTATTTTTGTTACAGTCAATTAGCATTAGCATACGATACAAGAGATTTAATATTACTTGCTCGTTTTTGCGTTAAATAATCAATATTTATTTGCTTGTATTTACCTTTGAAAGTTTTATTTTCAAGTTTTTTTTTTGTGATCTGAAAATTTTCCCAGTTTGGATAGAAGTTTCGAAGCTAACGCATGTTCACAGGCCCAATAGAAAGATAGGCAGAAAAAGTGTATCATGAAGAATGGTTGCATGCAGTGTTGCTTCCACTCACTTGCTATAGATGAGTGATTTTCGGAGTTTTGAATTCGTTAGATGTTGTAATGGAGATTTGTGCTGTTGGATGCGGGAGGAGATTGGAGGGCGGGTGTTTGACGCATAGCGCCTGTCAATTTCGATTTCAGAGTGCCGCAGTCGGCGGTTTTATGATTCGTGAGCGCTCGCGATTCGTAGAATCGTTGATTGTGACTGCAAGTGGATTTGGTGGATTTTGTGTGTCGGACGCTTGTTTTTTTGCCTCTTCTTGTGTCTAACATGTGCAAAGTATCATTATAGCGTCTAATGGTTTTAAAATTCTTGGTTGCGTGAAATATATTTGTGAGAATATCTTTTTGAGATTTTAGTAGTCACGTTTTGTTTGTAGTTTATATTTTATTTCTTTTATGTAATTATCGTAAATAATAGTTATTCAATAATAGATAGTTCATCCTTATATTCGTACTTTGACGCGAAGCGCTGTGGATTATGAGATGCTCGATGACCCTGGAGGGATCGATTTTGCTTACTGAGCAGAAAATCATGGATTTAATCCCAAGCTCTTCCACAGCACAATAAATCGCCACCATCATTTGTATATTTGATATTGAATATTAACCTCGGAAACTATTTGCATATCAAGCGAAAACGTAGCCCTGTATTGTCGCGAAGCGTTATGGTTCTGAGATGCTCGATGACCCTGGAGGGATCGTGTTTGCTTACTGAGCAGAAAATCATGGGTTTAATCCCAAGCTCTCCGTCTTGACTCTTAAAATTCATGATCACTAAACAAAATGAATATGTTCTTTCGATAGCCGGCTATCGAGAGATTAAATAAACAACAAATAAACAATACATACTTTT